TCCTCCAGTGCTGTACGTCGACAACAAGGCTGCCATTGCCTTGTGTGAGGAGCACAGACTGGAGCACAGAACGAAGCACATCGCTCTGCGGTACTTCCTTGCTCGAGAGCTGCAGCAGCGTGGTCAGCTTTGTCTGCGTTACGTGGCCACGGAGGCCAACACTGCCGATGTGTTCACCAAGGCGCTTCAGCCTTGTGACCATCAGCGCTTTTGCACTCTGCTAGGCCTTGTACCCACTGGGCCTCACTTGCTTACCTCTTGACCTTGCTTGTACTGTGATCACTATATATATATGCCTACTTGTTTACTTTTGCTAGGTTGTGATCACTGTATCTCTTGTTTTGTTATAAACCTGCATGTGAACTGGTCTTGGGACCGCTTGCTTGTGCTCGGAATTTGTGTGGAATCCTTGAGATCCACCCTGAGCTTGCTTTGCTTTGACTGGTCTTGTGACCCTGTGGTTGTCTCCCACTGCGCCTATGGGGGTGTGTCAAACATTGTATGTTTATATTGTGTAGGCTGTAGTGGGTTACACCTTAGGGGGTACACAAAGTTAGGGTTTCCTACTTGTACCAAACTCTGTGCTAGTTCATTCATTCCTGCTCAGTTATTTCTGACAGCCATGTCACCGGCCGGGCAGTAGGTTAAGTTGACCTTGCCTTTGTCCACCTCGTCCTTCACGAAGAAGTACCGCAGCGCGATGTGCTTGGTGCGGTTGACGAAACCAGGTTTGTTCGCGATGCGAATCGCGCTCTGGTTGTCGCAGTGAAGGCGGAAGGTTGGCGAAGTTGGAATTTTCGCTTCTTGCAGAAGCTCCTGCAGGTAGAGGCCTTCGCGAACTGCTGCGGTTGCTGCGATGAATTCCGCTTCGGCTGACGACAGGGCAACCAATTCCTGCTTCTGTGAATTCCAGGAGATTGGTCCCGATGGCTCGAGTCGGAACAGGAAGCCGGTCCTGGACCGTCGATTGTCGGGGTCTGCTGCGTGATCGGCGTCCACGTAGCCGATGAGGTTGAAAGATGGAGTCGGCACAGTTGAGTAGCATAGCCCAATCTTGGGCGTTGAAACAAAGAACTGAAGGGCACGCTGCAGGTCCAGGAGATTCTCAGCCGTTGGTTTCCGTGAGTACTGCGCGAGCTGACTCGCGATGTAGGACAGATCTGGTCTGCAGGTGACAGAGGCGAAGAGAAGACATCCCAACTGCTGCTGGTAAGTCTGAATCCCAGCAGGGGATAAGGCTTTGTTGTCAGGTTTGTGGTTCGGTCCGGGGGTGCGATAGGGAGTTGAGAGAGATGCCGGTGAAATGTTGAACCGCTTCCCTAACTCCTCTGCATACTTAGCCGCTGAGAGGTGAATGGCCTCAGGAGCATAGGAGATGTTAAGGCCCAGGAACTGCTTCACCTCGTAGTTGCACGTGATGTCAATGCGCCCTGCCAAGGCCTTCTCGAACTGCTCGAGAAGCTCGTTGCTCGAGCCTGTGTAAAGCAGGTCGTCGACGTACACCGTGAGGAGAATGTATTCCCCGCGGAAGTCGCGGCGGTACATTCCTGGGTCGTGCGGCATCTGCTTGAACCCGATTTCAAGCAGGATGTTGTGCAGGTACTGCTGCCACAGTCTCGGTGCCTGTTTGATGCCGTAGAGTGACTTTCGCAGCTGACACACGCGCGCGTCCCCTTCGCCATAGGTGTGCGGCTGCTCCACGTAGATCACGGCGTCTACTAACGCGTACAGGAACGCGTTCTTTACGTCGATTTGGCGGAGTGGCAGATGCCTTGCGGCTGCGATGGCTAGCAGGATGCGGACGGAGGTGTGACGGCTAACTGGGGCGAACGTTTGATCGAAGTCGATCCCGTGCCTCTGGTCATAGCCGCGAACCACCCATCGCGCCTTAAAGCGCTCGATCGTCCCATCCGCTGCGGTCTTCACGCGGAAGACCCACTTCCCCGAGAGAATTCTTGCGCCCTTGATTGCTGCGCGGTCGACGAGCACCCAGGTGTTACGTGACTCCAGTGCCTTGATTTCCGCGTCCATCGCCTCACGCCACTCCTTGCTGTGTGGTCCAGAGAGAGCCTCGCGCGGGTTTCGGGGCTCGATGATGCGCGGCGCTTTCGAGGTAGCAGCGTGAAGCCCGAGCAGTTGCAGCCCCGAAACGGTGCTGTCGTGGCGGCGTTGCGGGATGACTTCCTGCACGTCGTCGTCATCACTTTCTGGTTCAGGTGGTGCTGGTGGTTCTGCGCCTCTGCCGCTTCCGCCTGTTCCTGTTCCGCCCATTCCTCCTCCTGAGGAATCATCGTCGTCGTCGTCGCTGCTGTGCCGATCCTCCCATGCGAACTCGGCCCTGGTGTCTTGCTCCAGGAGTGCTGCAGCGGCTTCGTCTTCGGGCGTTGCGTAGCTGTGTCCGTTGTTCGCGTAGACGCGATCTGCATTTCTCTGTTCGTCATCGCGGAATTGGTCGAGGAAGAGACGCTCGTAGAAGATTACGTCGCGGGCATGGGCGGTCTTCTGACTCAGAAGGTCCAGCACGATCCACGCCTTGTGCTCGTGGCTAATGCCGAGGTGAATTCCCCAGCGCGCGCGACTGGTGAATTTGCCGATGGTTGATGTCGGCGGTCGGTACTGCACCATGCACCCCCAGACGCGCAGCATCGATGTGTCCCCCTTTGTCCCAGTCCACTTGACGTGCGGGGACAGGTTGCCGGTAATTGCGGTGGTCGAAAGCAGGTTGTGCACCCGCACGGCGTGGTGCATCGCGTAAGTCCAGTAGATCGGCGGCAGCTTTGATTGCTTCATCAGCGCGCGCACCTTCGTCATCAGCGTGCGGTTCGTCCGCTCAGCTACGCCCTGTTGCTGGTGTGCGTAGGGGAGGGAGATGTGATGCTCGATCCCCTTTTGCGTCAGGAATGTCTGCATCTGCCGCGCCGTCGGACTGCCAGATCTTGAGCTTCTTTCCAGATTGCCGCTCCGCATGTGCTAGCCAGAGGCGGAACACCTCGTAGGCTCTGTCGCGCGTCTCCACGTTCACGACCCATACATAGCGTGTTCCTGCGTCGATGAAGGTAAGCGTGTAGAGTTCGTCTTCGATTCCGCAATGCCCCACGTTCAGGAAATCGCTGTACACCTTGTGCAGCTTGGGGTATCGGTTGGTTCCAGGTTCGAGCAGCGGGAACGGTTGGTGGCTCAGCGCAGCTTCGGGGCAGACGGTGCAGTTGCGCGGATGTGTCGCGCCACTCACTTCGGAGCCATCAGGGCGCAGGAGTGCGCCAGGAGCGAAGACGCCAGCGTCGATGCAGTTTTTGAGCGTCGCGCGGGAAGGGTGTCCGAGGCGCTGGTGCCAGAGTGCATCATCAGCGCGAAAGCCGGAGGTGCGCATATAGCGCGCGCGCGCTTCCTCGGGGTCTTCGTCAGGTACAGGAGCAGGTTCTGCTGCTACTTCTTCTGCTTCTTCTTCTGCCGCGGTGGTCAGCATCAACGCCAAGAACTCTCTGTCGCGAATTTCAGAGAGCGGGATGTTGGTCCCAGGGATGGTTCCAGGGACAAGGGATGGTTCAGGGGCGGGTCCGTAGATAGTGCGACGCGGGGTTGACGGCTCGTTGCCCCAGGTAATGGTGTCCCACGGGTCGCGATGCGGGGGAATGTCTGCAGGAGGTGGTGCGAGGGGAATGCGGCGCGGGGGACGACCGAGAGGAACGACTGCAGGTGCTGCTTCGGTCTCCGCGGCTTCTTCCTCTCCCCCCCTTCGTTCTTCGCGGGAAGTGCCCCAGCCGCTATTGTCGGCGCCAGATGCGGCGCCCCATCCGCCGCTCGCGTTGGCCCAGGTGCCGCCGGTGTCACCCCATCCGCCAGTATCACTGGTCCCCCATCCACCAGCGCTTCCCCACCCCCCTTCATTGGAGGCGCTTGCTTCTTCCTCAGCTCCCCAGGCGGTGCAAGCGAAGGTCCCGCGTGCTTCCGCGAGGCTTTGCTGGCGAAGCTCCTCGGCTTCGCGGCGCGCCAGTTCTTCCTCCTGTTCCACGGCGATTTCGGCCGTGTGGTCGCGCCAATGGGGGTAAATCTTTTGAAAATCTTCGCGGGAGTAGGGTCGCGGCACGCCATGCGCATCGAAGGTGCCGACGCCAGTTCCGCGGAGCATCCCTCGAAGGTGTTGAGAGGGCGGACCGGCAAGAGGGTACTTAGGCGTGCCGAAGACGCCATGCGTGGTGACTTCAAGTTCCAATTGCGTCATGCCTTCTTCTGGTGGCGCGTGATGTTCTGCTTCGGCGATGGCGGCGAGTCCGCGGCCGGCAATGGCGCTAGTTGACGTCGTCGGCGTGTGGCAGTCTTTGCACATGCCGTCTGCGTCAGGGTCGTGCAGCGCTGTTTCTCGTGGGTGTGGATGATGTGGCACCCACGGTCTCCCGTCAGGGTGCTTCCAGTCCCTGCGGTGGATGTGCTCGAAGCGTAGTGGCACGAGATCGATTAGTTCGTGCGAGTCGCCGCTGCAGTCGGGGATGTCAAAGTCTAGGACGTACACCCCATTGTCGGAGTGTGCTCGTCCGATCTGCCGGCGGGGGAAGTTGCGCGCTTCGTAGTGCAACAAAATATCGCGCGTCGCGCGGTCCGTGCTGAGTTCGACGCCGCAATCCATGAGCTGTGCGGCGGACAGGAGGTTGAAGCGCAGGTTCTGGACGATCAGCACATCGTTGAGCGTGATGTGCGTGCGGCTCCCGCGTGCTTTGAGCACGACGATGCCTTGCGCGCTTGCGCGCAGGCGCGTGTTGTTCGCCACAGTGACATAGGTGGCGGTAGGAGTGGGGATGGCGTTGGATATGTAACGCTCGGAGCCCACCATATGCTGGCCGCAGCAGCTGTCCAGGTACCAGGTGTTGTAGCGCTTGTTGTCGTCACGGGCGAGCAGCGCCAGTCGCGGTGTGACGATGTGCGGAGTGTCGAACTTCAAAAATTGCTCGCGCGAGAGCCAATCAATTGGCGCCACCCGCATATCAGGTACGTGCGGGGGACTTTCAAGCAGCGGGACTGGAAGGTTCCAGTCTTGGTCGTCGTCGTCGGTGAAATCGTGGCGCGGGTTGAACGGGTTGTTGTTGGTGAACGCGCCAATGGGGTGCGGTGCCGGCTCGGGTGAAGGCGAGCGGGCACGGCGACGACGCGATTCGCTGGTCATGGCCATGTTGCTCATGACGTTGCGAGCTGGGGCAGTCGGTGACGGCTGCTGCTGCTGATGCTGAACCGCTGGGTTCAGGTTGCGCGCGGAAGGGGGCTGATACCCCTGGGCATGACGCGCGTCGCCTCGTGCGTCTTGACGGCCGGACCAGGTGCTCGGATTGGTCTGGCGAGGGCGGGATCGGTTCTTGCATCGATCCGCCAGATGCCCGAAATTTCTGCAGATTTTGCAGTAGAGGCGCCGTGGCTTTCGCTCTTCGGTGTTGTCGGCGTAGAAGGCGAGCCTTTCGCGTTCTCGTCGCGGCGCAGGTCGCTGCTGATCCATATCCCTCTGTTCGACGAGAAGGGCGGCGCAAAGGGCGGCCTCCGAGATGACCCCCTGCTGTCGAAGAAGCGCCTTGCAGGGCCGCCACTCTGGGCCGAGCCCTTGAAGCACGATATTCACGAAGATTTCTTCCGAAATCGAGCTTCCCAGCTTCGCGATTTGGTCGCGAAGGCTTCGACAGCGATTGATGTAGCTGTTGGCCTTCTCCCCTGGGGCCATTTTTGTTTCCAGTAGCTGCTGAAGCAGCCGGCTCGAGGAGACGGAGTCCTTCGGCTGATACACACCGTTGAGGTGTCGCCAGGCTTCAAGGGCTGGGGCGGCCGAAGTCTTGTATGAGCGTATGCTCAGTTGCTCCGTCGGTGCCATGTTCCGCAGGAGCACCCCGTACGCCATTAGGGACTCGTTGTAGTAGCGGGTCCTGGCGTCGTCCGTGTCGTCGGCAGGCTCCGCGTAGCTCCCGTCGAAATAGTGAAAGATTTGGGCGTTCTGCAGCAAGAGCTCCAACTCGAAGCTCCAGGTATAGAAGTCTCTGCCGTCAAAACAAGTACTTGTCTTTATTTTTGATATGCTCAGAAACTTTGATTGAGCAGAGAGAATTGCCTCTTCACTGGGACGGGGAGCCTTGGGGGTTGAGCCATTGGTGTCGAGAGAGAATGTGTGCGGGGCGGCGTACAGGCCAGTTGGGGCCGGTTGGGATGGTTGCGAGGATGTTCCCGCATCGCCGTTCCGTAATGTTTGGAGTCCTTGCTCCAGGCTGGTGAGTCGCTGAAGAAGTTGTGCGAGAACTTCGGTGCCGATCGTCGTCGTGTTTTCGCTTGTCGCAGCCGGGTTGGGTTGCGCTTCAGCCGTTAGATTGGTCTGACCACCAGATCCTCCGGCCATCTTCACTCGTGAGCGTGTGCCGGACGCCACTTTCCGAATGTCGCAATTTTCGGGAGTGGCAGTGCGAAGGATTCCTGAGCCGCTCTCATACCATGCTGAAATCATAAGTTGATCGTAGCCCAGGATCTACCCAGGAAGGTTCGCACGCAGTGAGATAGTTTGGTGGGCCCTTGACCTCAATAGCAGAGTGAATGTAAAATGCTTTGAGATGAATAAAACATGCAAATACAACGATATAAATATGAGTACAGGGGAATACGAAGCGACCTAGCTAGCCATGTACTCTAAGGGGTACATTCCCTTATTCGAATTCAAACCAACCGTGCGGCCCGAGCAGTTACGAAACTGTTCCCGCCAGATTCATTGTCCCTGCAGCTGCCCGATGCCGTTTTTCTCCGACGGTCTAGATCCACCCTAACCGTCTGACGCTTCGAGTCAACTCTGACTCCTCGCATTCGTTCTCGATACTGCATGCCTCTTTGCTGCGGTGAGGAGTGCACAGTAATATCAAGTATTACTATTCGTAACAGATCTCAGCCTTGCGGTTTCAATCGAAACTACCACAAAACAGTTTGCTTCGAAATTCACCGAGAATCTGCCACCCTGGCGAAAATTCCTACCATGACGTGCTGAAATGTTGCTAACACGTGCGCGCCTGTGGCAATTTCGCCAGGTGGGCCAGGGAAGACTTCGCCAGGCACGTCAGCGACGATTGCTCCTGACGCGTTAGTGGCGAATTCACTAGAAAAACACAGATTTGAGTAAAATTTCATAGGGTGCGGTTATACGAAGATGATCCAAATTTAGGGTGGGGTTATAATCGGCACCCGGCTATAAGCCCACTGGTACGATTATAACCGCATGGGTGTAACATAGGCCTGGGGGTATATCCGGGGTATGACGGTAGGATGGAAGGCAGCTCGTGCTGAGCTGAGCGTGAAAGTAGGTAGGTGCTTTGGAGATTGAATGCCATGCCACCGTGCAATGCATCTCCGTGATGCTTGAGTTGAGAGAGGCCCATGTGAATGGTAATACGGTAACTGAATTCTCACAATGTCCCATTCGCCCGACAAGAAAGGACCCCGTCCACGATAAATTAAACAAACAATAGTACACTATATCACATGATTGAAAGTTAGGGATACACTCTGAAAGCAGAACATTTCTGCCGGTATCCACATATGCCATAATCCAGGCAGCTACTTGTTTGGGAAACTGCATGGGCAGGGCAGGGCAGTCCACCTGCCGTTGTCCCCGTCACTATCCTAGGTGCTGTCAGAAAGCCCCCTGCGACTCTCATCCAGATCCAGCAGTCCATCCACTCACCCCGCCTCACACTTCTGCCTGCCCGACCAGCAATACCGCACATTACCCTGTGCACAAGCATGACTTGGGTACATCCAGTACTACACCACACCACATGAAGCTTGTGAGGCAGACATTCATGTATGCATGTATCAAAAGCCTGGCAACAGATGTGAGGAGCAGATCACAGGCAGACCACCTGGGGGTGATTGATTACGACTGCTGCTCGCTTTGCGCATGGCTTGGGCCCACACCACACCACACTCTTGTGCGGGCTTGTTCCCGTCCACAGCGGTACCGGTATGTGTTGCCAGTATGTGTTGCCAGTATGTGTTGCCAGTATGTGTTGCCAGTATGTGTTGCCAGTATGTGTTGCCAGTATGTGTTGCCAGTATGTGTTGCCAGTATGTGTTGCCAGTATGTGTTGCCAGTATGTGTTGCCAGTATGTGTTGCCAGTATGTGTTGCCAGTATGTGTTGCCAGTATGTGTTGCCAGTATGTGTTGCCAGTATGTGTTGCCAGTATGTGTTGCCAGTATGTGTTGCCAGTATGTGTTGCCAGTATGTGTTGCCAGTATGTGTTGCCAGTATGTGTTGCCAGTATGTGTTGCCAGTATGTGTTGCCAGTATGTGTTGCCAGTATGTGTTGCCAGTATGTGTTGCCAGTATGTGTTGCCAGTATGTGTTGCCAGTATGTGTTGCCAGTATGTGTTGCCAGTATGTGTTGCCAGTATGTGTTGCCAGTATGTGCTACCAGTATGTGTTGCCGCACATCATGCTCCGTCCGTGCATGGCTTGCTCCTCTTGTGCCACTCCAGGCCGTGTGTGTCGCTTGACGTCATGCTCCCTCCGAGCATACAACGGTGCCCCTTGGGGCCTTGGCTCTATCCGTGCACTTCACGTGTGTGCTGGCAGGGTGTTGCGTGCTCGTGCTGTCGATTTTTTGGTCGACTGAAGTATTCACTGCTGATGACGTCACCCTGTACCAGCTGCTGCCAGTGCAGCCATTCTCGCAAGCAGACACGGTGGCATTTGCATGCCCACGATGCGGCCAACCAGAGAGAGCCAGCTCAGCATGTAGAGCTCGAGCTCCTGGGAGTGATGATGCGATGCTGCCGTGCTGGTGGCGGCAGGTGTATCGACCGCTGCTCGCCCTGCGCTCGCCTCACTGGTAGCCCCACCTGCAACCGCCACGTCAGCAGCTGACCCAGCACCAACAGATGCAGCCACACTGTTAACACCATTAGCAGCAGCAGCAGCATCACCAGCAGCTGAGTGCAGCAGCAGCGCCATGGCGGCAGGAGTGTTGCAGGGGTGAAGAGCTATGCAGGGCCGGCCCAGGCAGGGATGCTCCTGGCAGCATGGGTAGGGCGGCATGGGGAGGGCAGCATGAGGAGGGCGGCATGGGGAGGGCGGCATGGGGAGGGCGGCATGGGGAGGGCGGCATGGGTAGGGCGGCATGGGGAGGGCGGCATGGGTAGGGCGGCATGGGGAGGGCGGCATGGGTAGGGCGGCATGGGGAGGGCGGCATGGGGAGGGCGGCATGGGGAGGGCGGCATGGGGAGGGCGGCATGGGGAGGGCGGCATGGGTAGGGCGGCATGGGGAGGGCGGCATGGGGAGGGCGGCATGGGGAGGGCGGCATGGGGAGGGCGGCATGGGGAGGGCAGCATGAGGAGGGCGGCATGGGGAGGGCGGCATGAGGAGGGCGGCATGGGGAGGGCGGCATGGGGAGGGCGGCATGGGGAGGGCGGCATGGGGAGGGCGGCATGGGGAGGGCGGCATGGGGAGGGCGGCATGGGGAGGGCGGCATGGGGAGGGCGGCATGGGTAGGGCGGCATGGGTAGGGCGGCATGGGTAGGGCGGCATGGGTAGGGCGGCATGGGGAGGGCGGCATGGGGAGGGCGGCATGGGGAGGGCGGCATGGGGAGGGCGGCATGGGGAGGGCGGCATGGGGAGGGCGGCATGGGTAGGGCGGCATGGGTAGGGCGGCATGGGTAGGGCGGCATGGGGAGGGCGGCATGGGGAGGGCGGCATGGGGAGGGCGGCATGGGGAGGGCGGCATGGGGAGGGCGGCATGGGGAGGGCGGCATGGGGAGGGCGGCATGGGGAGGGCGGCATGGGGAGGGCGGCATGGGGAGGGCGGCATGGGGAGGGCGGCATGGGGAGGGCGGCATGGGGAGGGCGGCATGGGGAGGGCGGCATGGGTAGGGCGGCATGGGGAGGGCGGCATGGGTAGGGCGGCATGGGGAGGGCGGCATGGGGAGGGCCGCATGGGGAGGGCGGCATGGGTAGGGCGGCATGGGGAGGGCGGCATGGGGAGGGCCGCATGGGGAGGGCGGCATGGGGAGGGCCGCATGGGGAGGGCGGCATGGGGAGGGCGGCATGGGGAGGGCGGCATGGGGAGGGCGGCATGGGTAGGGCGGCATGGGGAGGGCGGCATGGGTAGGGCGGCATGGGGAGGGCGGCATGGGTAGGGCGGCATGGGGAGGGCGGCATGGGGAGGGCGGCATGGGGAGGGCGGCATGGGGAGGGCGGCATGGGGAGGGCGGCAAAGGGAGGGCGGCATGGGGAGGGCGGCATGGGTAGGGCGGCATGGGGAGGGCGGCATGGGTAGGGCGGCATGGGGAGGGCGGCATGGGGAGGGCGGCATGGGGAGGGCGGCATGGGGAGGGCGGCATGGGGAGGGCGGCATGGGGAGGGCGGCATGGGGAGGGCGGCATGGGGAGGGCGGCATGGGGAGGGCGGCATGGGGAGGGCGGCATGGGGAGGGCGGCATGGGGAGGGCGGCATGGGTAGGGCGGCATGGGGAGGGCGGCATGGGGAGGGCGGCATGGGTAGGGCGGCATGGGGAGGGCGGCATGGGGAGGGCGGCATGGGGAGGGCGGCATGGGGAGGGCGGCATGGGGAGGGCGGCATGGGGAGGGCCGCATGGGTAGGGCGGCATGGGTAGGGCGGCATGGGGAGGGCGGCATGGGTAGGGCGGCATGGGTAGGGCGGCATGGGGAGGGCGGCATGGGGAGGGCGGCATGGGGAGGGCGGCATGGGGAGGGCGGCATGGGGAGGGCGGCATGGGTAGGGCGGCATGGGTAGGGCGGCATGGGGAGGGCGGCATGGGGAGGGCGGCATGGGGAGGGCGGCATGGGGAGGGCGGCATGGGGAGGGCGGCATGGGTAGGGCGGCATGGGGAGGGCGGCATGGGGAGGGCGGCATGGGGAGGGCGGCATGGGGAGGGCGGCATGGGGAGGGCGGCATGGGGAGGGCGGCATGGGGAGGGCGGCATGGGGAGGGCGGCATGGGGAGGGCGGCATGGGGAGGGCGGCATGGGGAGGGCGGCATGGGGAGGGCAGCATGGGGAGGGCGGCATGGGGAGAGCAGCGCATGGCACAGGCAGTCGAAGAGCAGTGAGGGGAGCAGGAGTGGGGCACAGGGGACAGACAACATGCGTGTGGTGGAAGCGAGGGGGCATGTGATGCATCGTGTCCCGGGCACATCTAGCCATGGCATGTGAGGGGCACATCTAGCCATGGCATGTGAGGGGCACATCTAGCCATGGCATGTGAGGGGCACATCTAGCCATGGCATGTGAGGGGCCGTGGGAAGAGCGATGGAGAGGGGGGAGGGAGGGCGTACCAGGGGTGTGAGCAGGTGCCAGGTGTCAAGTGAGAGGTCATGCGCGGTGGGCGGAAGAGGGGGGGTTGAAAGGGGAGAGGGGCCGGCAGGGGGATGGGGGAGGATGAAGGCGGTGGAGGGAAGGGGTGAGGGCATCAAGGGGTGGTCGGGGAGGCGAGGCAGGAAGGCAAAGAGGTCCTGCCAGGGCAGGGGGCGGCCGTCTGATGGGGGTAGAGGGGGGGTGGGAGGTTGGGAAGGAAGGGGTTTTTGGAAGGGTTATGGAAAGAGAGTGTGATGGTGGAGAATGGAGAGGGAGAAGAGAGGGGCAGCTGGGGGGAGGATGGACGCAGTTAGCAGCGAGAGATGCATGCTGGGCCCATGGTGGAGAGGAGCATGTGGGTGGAGGATGGCAGTGACATGGATAGAAGACGTGAGTGGCATGGCAGGGCATGGGTGGCACACCTGGGCGGCATGGCAGGGAATGGGTGGCACACCTGGGCGGCATGGCAGGGCATGGGTGGCACACCTGGGCGGCATGGCAGGGCATGGGTGGCGCACCTGGGCGGCATGGCAGGGCATGGGTGGCACACCTGGGCGGCATGGCAGGGCATGGGTGGCACACCTGGGCGGCATGGCAGGAGCAGCAGTTGGGGCACGGAGAAGACAGCATCAAACACCACGTGGCAATGCACCAGAGCCACCGTGTCACTTGCTGCCACGTCACAGGGTTGCTGCACACTCCTCGCTCCACATGCTGCATCACGAAACGCCCCCCCCTCGTCTCTCAACGCACTATCTGGTTCACTTGGCCTCACTGTGTGCCGTGCTGCCTGTGCTGCTGCTGACATGGGTGCATGCAGCGGTGACTGCAAGTGCGACTGTGGGGCTGCTGCCACTGCACCTACTGCTACCAGCACTGTGCTGGGATGGGGATGGGGATGCACGCAGCACTGCAGGGTGGCAGGGTCGTGCGGCTCCACGCCACACAGGTCAACCGCATCAGCCCAGTCAACTGGGTCAACCGAGTCAGCCGGGTCAACCAGGTCAACCGAGTCAACTGGAGCCTGTGGGTCAAGTGGGCAACAGCTGGGGTGGTGCTGGCTGTGTGCGCGGTGCAGCAGCAGCGGGTGGAGCGTGGTGAGGTAGCCGCCTGGGCCAGGGCGGTGGCGGGGAGGGAGGGTGCAGGGTAAAGGAGGGTGCAGGGGAAAGGAGGACGCGGTGATGTGTGAAGGCAGGATGGCAGCAGCATGAACGGAGGGTGGGAGGGTGGGAGGGTGGGAGGGTGGGAGGGTGGATATACAAGAGGATAAGACGGGAGTGGGGATGAGACAGGAGTGGGGATGAGACGGGAGTGGGGATGAGACGGGAGTGGGGATGAGACGGGAGTGGGGATGAGACGGGAGTGGGGATAAGACGGAGAGAACAGAGGGGCGAGTGGATGCCAAGGGGGTAGAGGCGAGTGGATGCCAAGGGGGTAGAGGCGAGTGGATGCCAAGGGGGTAGAGGCGAGTGGAGAGACGGACGGAGTGGGCAGGCAGGGGTGAGAGGTGGGTGGGTGGAAGGAGTGAGGGGAGCTGGGAGGTGAGGCGCTCACCTCCCACTGCCAGCGACGACGCCCGCGCCGCAACCCACTGCCACCTCACGCCCTCCGCGCGCCTCTCACCCTCCGCGCGCCTCTCACCCTCCGCGCGCCTCTCACCCTCCGCGCGCCTCTCACCCTCCGAGCGCCTCTCACGGTGATTGCCGTACATTTCCTGTCGATCGACTACCACGTCTGCTGCGAAACCAGCCCCCGCACTTTGCGACGCTGTCCACGCTGCTTCCTCGATCCCCGCTCGTCCACTCCGCCGTGCGTCTGCCGCCGCGGGGGAGATGCGAGTCGGCGCGCCAACCGACTGTGCGTCTTCCGCCGCGTTCCACGCTGCTGCGAGTCTGGCCGCGGCGAGAGGGAAATCGCCGGCGCTGATTCGCCCTGCGCGGAGCGCTGCGGCCATGCTAATGACGAGTCGACGATCCACTTTATATGCGACGCGAGGTGAGGCTTTAAGGCGACTCGAAAAGTCACGTATATGCGTGACGCGCCCCCGCAACACGAAGCTGCGTGCTCCTAGGTGCAGAATGAGCTCCTAGGTGCAGAATGAGCTCCTAGGTGCAGAATGAGCTCCTAGGTGCAGAATGAGCTCCTAGGTAAAAAAAAAATTCCAGGGGGGTGGGGTTGCAAGGAATGAAGTAGGGACTCTCAAACATTGGCCATGGTGTGTGTGATGTATGTGCGCTGAAGCTACATTCTATTCGATTTACCTATTATATACACACGCGTGACTCAGCACATGCCGCCCCGCCCGCCCTGGCACGAATGACATGCGAGGCAAAACGAAAAACCCGCAAAATTTCTCCGGGCCCCCAGAAATTCCCGGCTGACCCCGCCAAAAAACCCTCCTAAACCCTCTGGTTCAATGTCGTTTTCTTACGACCATATATATGTCAGCCGTAACAGTGGAAATTGGCGGACATTCATCGAACAGTGCTCGGCGGACATTGGCCAATCGCCGTCGAGCACCGTGCACCCTCGACAACACTGGTTACGCCGGTGACATGTCGCCGTCAACGTCGCTTACACGTTGGCGTTGACGGTCAACGTGAGCGAAACGAGTTTCGCAACCGGCCGCCCGTCACGATCGACGGCGACGTCAACTGCGCTCGACCGGTCACATCGTCGATCCAGCGAACTGTCGCTGTCGGATGCGCGACGGGTTACGCACGTCGCAATCAAACGGTCACGTCAAAGGGACACGGTATTCAAGGCATCTGCACATGGACGAACCTCGGCCGAAACAGGTATAAGCCAAGACCTGAAGTAGTAGCCCCGTGCACCGTCTTTTGTAGTAGGTCAACGCTAGGGAGAAATGAAGGCTTAGGGGTAGGCAGTTATGGATCCGTCGAGGACATCGCCTGCAAGGCAGGCAGACGTAGGACGCTTACATGTCGACATAGAGTCCATCTCGACACCACCCTCTTCGACGTCACAAGCCAGGCCCGTCGCTTCAGCGCCCCCTTCGATGTCGCGTGCTATACCAGTCACTAGGGCGCCCACATCGACCTCACGATCGATACCGGTAGTGGTTCAGCCGGTTGTTACGGACCACCGTTCGACGGCCAGTGCGGTAAATGTCGAGGTGGGTGGTGCACAGTCCGAAGTCCCTTCAACTGCGCAATCCATACCTGTAGTGGTAGAACCCATCTCGACAACAATCGCACCAGCTACACAGGAAGCCCCACATCACCGTGCATCATCATCGATAGCCAACCGATCGACTACAAGAACGGCACCCTTAGCTGGTGAACCGACCTCGACAGATGGCCGACGTGGGAGGTCGAAGGGGGTTCCGCCTGAGGGTCGACCACCACCGCCAGCCGGTGCATCCGCTTCGCGAGCCACTCCCGCCGCGCCTAGGCGCTCTTCGACGAGACCCAGCAGAGAGGACTTAGCCAGCCACGTCCCTCCTGCCACGAACGATGAGGACGATGAGACGGGACAGCAGCAGGAGGCGGACGACGTCGAAGAGGCGGACCCTCTTCGCCCTGCCGCGGCAAATATATCAGAAGAGGATGCCGCGCACATTTTCGGCGACGCAGATGGCGCAGATAATCCGTACTTGGCGACGGGAACACTGAAAAGCAAGATTCACCGTTGTCAGCTTCCGCTGCTGGCAGTCGACCAGGATACCACTAGGCCTAACTATGTCTCGGCATGGGCCTGTAAAGAACTGGCGGCCGGAAAAAAACAACGGAGTGCCTGAAGAGGAGCAGGTGAAACACGAGGACGAGGTCGGGAGGGAGATCGGCGATGATAAAGGGCCGGGATGGAGGGAGGCGCTGCGAAACGAGGAGCACCTGCATGGACCGATAACGTCGAAATGGCGTTTGCGGGCGTATGTCGAATACCTATCGACTGAAACAGACGAACAGGCGGCTTCATTGGATACCGGGCGGACCAGGGTCGCGGGAAGGAAGCCGAAGAAATGCACCCCGCCGATGATGCTGGCGCGCCTTACTGCTCTGACATGCTTGTGCAAAGTAGAGGCCATACTCTTCGACGAGCCACTCACAAAACCCATGGACGATATCACCGAGGCCAGGCAGTTACTAGCGGTCAAGCTGCGACAGCTCCACGACTATCAGTACGAGTAAGTGGGCATCCATTCACCTTCAAGTACAACTTCACACGTCACACTCTCACTCATGAATCGATGAACAAACCCACTCAATGCAAGAGGTGCGTCGATCCACACCGGGGCTCACTCGACGATGTCTACTCGGAGGAACAGTTCCGCATTCTCGTCTCAGACATCCTGCCGCACTGGGCCAAGGAGTACTTCAGGTCGTCGATGGGATACCCCAGTCAGTCGCTATGGAGGGCCTTGTCTGTGAGGGTGATGATCCTAATGGCGCATCACATGCTGGGCAGGGGGATCAGCATCCGGGAGATCCGCTACTGCAACATGTTCACTCACGTCCGACTGCCCATCACGAACACTCCGGACGAATCGTCCATCCTCGTTCTCGTGGTCGCCTATCGCAACTCGAAGACCATCAAGGACAACAAGCTCGGCCACCTGTACCTGACTCGACACATGGACTTCCAGCAGTGCGGCTTCGGAGCAGTTTCCCTGTGGATACACTTCCTTTTCGACCTGTTGCCGCTCTACTACAACAGCGAAGAGATCGTGCCCCCGTTGGATTTCAGTAACCCCGAAGCATGGTCGAAGAAGCACCTGTTCTTCGCCCTCTTCGACAAAGAGAAAAACGAGTTGCCGTACGCGACTCACGCCAAATGGGTGACCTGGGCGATGAACGGCGCGGTGTGGATCCTGTCGAAAGTCACACACATCTTTCGACGATCTGCGGCACAGATTCTCGCCGACAAGAACTGTGACCTCGACACCATCGCACAGCTGGGTCAATGGGACATGAACGAGATGCGCAGGTCTTACGTCACAGGCATCCCGCGCGGGGCAATCCAGCTGCAAGCGGGTTTCTCGGTGGAACCGGGCGACTATTACATCGGAAGATCGAAGACCCAAGTGCCTGCGAAGGTCGTGAAGGCTATCGAGCAGCACATCTTTCCCAAGGCTGAGCACTGGCTCATCGAGGTATGGATTTGTCGAGCGCCGTTTGTGATCAATGTTATGCCCGTCTAACTCTCAACGTCACCACGCTTGTTCTTGTTCAGGCGATGGAGTGGAACAACGAGCAGGACAAGGAACATGAGTACTACGCAGCGAAATATTTCTTGGAGGCCCTGCAAGCCGCCCGAATGCCCATCGCAGAGGATCTTGCGATGTACTACGTCCATTGCAACGACCACCCCTTCGACGGGGTGAGCGTTTGCGACTGCGAGCGTCACCCTTACGCCCAGATGTCCGGTTTGTGCAAGGACGAAGATTTCCAAAAATGGGCGATCGACGTGAACCTCCTCGACAAGTACGGCATCGAGATGCGAACCAACCCCACGATGTCGAGAGCTTCGGTAAGATGGCCCATCTATATCTATATCCGAAGGCTTTTCAACAGCCCACTGACCGCACCTGTTATTGTGTGCAGGACGTATCCTCTCAACTCAACGCCAAGCACCTCATCAGGCAACTTCGGGCCGAGATCAACTTCCACAAGGAGGAGGGAGGAAAAAAGGCAATCCAGATCAACCACCTCGAGAGGCAGGTCGAGTCATTGGAGCGAGAGAACCGCTCGATGAAGTCGGAGTTGGAGGCGAAGACAGAGGCGCTCGCGCAACTACAGAAAGCGTTCGACGCACTGAAGAATACCGCGGCGACAAGCGCAGCTGCAAATGTGGGGGAGAGCGCTAGCGTACCGCATACGGAGACCATGGAAGCCACCCCGGCACCACATCAAGCCCAACAAGCAACGCCCTCTCGACAGAGTGCAGGCAGCCAGCTCGACCAGGCATTCTTCGACGCGGTGGTGTGGCCGTGGTGAAATTGCGAGACCGTACGGAAGGCGTGGTCGTACTGGGACGGGCCAAGCCCACTGAACAACGGAAACAGTCTTCGACAGGCGTACAGGAGGGGCTTTTCCGTCAAGTTCTGCAAGTTCACACCGACTCCACCCCCCGTACCTCACGACGAGGAGTCCCTGCCAAAAGAAAAGCCCCCAAGCGCAAAGGCTATCGAGACGAAATTGCGGAAAATGGAGGCTGTCATGAAAGTCGTCGAGCATTTCCGGATCGACGACGGCAGCGCGGCTACGTCGACGGTCATCGAAAAGCTGGACTCAATTGTCAAGGACCACTCGATCAACATGCTCTCGGAGGGCATCGTTCTCAACGAGGATTCTGGGAGGCAGCTCACGAAAAAACGGAAACTCGAGTCTGCATAGGAAAACTGGAAGGACAAACAACGCCTCAGAATCACTGTGGAGCTTATTCGCGTCGGGCTCCGAACAGCAGAATGGGCGGAGAAGGTGTTCGGCAAGGAGAAATGGATAGAGTTCACAAGAACGACTGGCGCGCGGCCTAGTTCGACGGGCATCTTGAGGCGGGGGGAAACCTAGTGTAGGTTGTTCTAGCTAGGTTTACTTGGCATTTCCCTCTTGTACTTGTTGTGAGACTATCTCGACAAGATGAACCAATTGAGCATTATCGAAAACATCAAATCAATGACCATCAATCCAACATATTCTGTCGATCAAACTATCAAAACAACAAACACATCTGTCGAATGATGCAAACACCTCCACGCAATGCGCCCTCCTAAACTACTCCCCTTGCCCGCCCATTTCCATCTCCGTAGCATCTTCGTCGCCCAGCTTCGCCTTGCTCTTTTCTTCTGGCATAGCCAGGCTGCCATAGCCCGCGTCCTCCAGCAGGCGGGCAGCAGCTCGACAGTAGCACCATTGCGTACAGACCTGTGCTGCCACGCGCAGCATCTGCAACACTGTGGCGTCCGTCGAGCCGAGACCTTCGATCGCCGACGAATACAGCTGATCGGGCCACTGCTTGGCTGGGAACGTCCGGCCGACGTGCAGAACTACGGACACGAGCGCCGCCATGGCAGCCGCACTAGCCTTTGTCGCCATTTCCGTGGCGTAGTGCGCTGCGTTTGCGGCAGCTAGAGCATTCGCCTGAATATCTTCCCTCGACAGCTTCCTGCAAGCCGCCCACAAGCTCGCCACAGTTGCGGCGATGGCCATCATGTGCGGTGTCGCCGCCATGCCCTTCGGGACTGGATATATCACGTTCCCATGCTTCTGGCCAAGCGTCGCAACCATACCAATCGCCGTGCACAGAGCGATTCCCCAGTCGGTTCCAGCTCTCACTTCCTTATTTGCCGTCGCCAGCAGCGACTCAAACCTGCACAGCGAAACAAATGTTCTGGTCAAGAGGCCGCACTTTGACAGGAAATCACTTCGTCAGGAAAAATAAAAACCGTCAGTTAGACAGGAAGAGCAAAACCGTTCACAACAGTCGAACAACAGGAGTTCGACAAAACTCACTCGTCGAAACGACATTCCCCTTGTTCTTGCGCCACGCTCCAAACGCCGGTCGGCATACCAGCGGCTGCGTCGAGATAGACCTTCCACTCCTTCTCATCCTGCGCCGTGAACCCCTCGTACTCCGTAAGGACTATGTCGGGGAAGTACACGCGCCAGCAGATGGCCGTACATAACTTCTGGTCCTTCTCCGTATCAAAAGTGTCAAGGAACTGTCAGAATCCCAGTCACTAACCACTGGGATAAAAGGGCTTGTTTGTATAGCGGGTGAGTGCGCCCATAACCCCCCAGGCCGACATGCCTGTAACCCTTCCCTAGGATCATCGGGGATCCCCAGTGGACCTCTGACACCCCCCCGCACTGGGATGCCCGAGGTGCACACACCGGGAATCGAACCCGAGACCTTCGCTCTGATACCATGTCAGAATCCCAGTCACTAACCACTGGGATAAAAGGGCTTGTTTATATAGCGGGTGAGTGCGCCCATAACCCCCCAGGCCGACGTGCCTGTAACCCTTCCCTAGGATCATCGGGGATCTCCAGTGGACCTCTGACAGGAACCGCTTCCTCCCGCCGACGGTCTGCTCGGAAACCGGCTTACCCTTCCGCCACCCGAAACCCGGTCCTCTGAAGGGAGCTTTGCAGCCTCTCGTCTTGCCTTGGTCGTCCGGCCGAGGAGGTGGGGTGTAGCCGATCACCTTGGCCTTCTTCGCCTTTTCCTGTCGAGCAGCAACGACGGTAGACGGCTTCTCGACAGGAGCTTGACCAGTGCGGCTGGGCAGCTCCACCACGTGACTGCTCTCTCTCGCCTTCGTCATGGCCTGCCTCTTGTTCGACGCAAAAGGGGAACCCGGTTCGCTAAGGCAGACGTCGCCTAAGGCCCGAGCAGCGGCGACGGGAGCTACAGGAGGGGTAGAGGACGACGCCCAATTTCCCACAAGCGTTTGAGCACGACCAGCACCACCGCTCTGCGCAGCTGATGCCGCTTTTGTCTTCGACAGCAACCCAGCAGGACCCGATGTCTCCCCCGCTCCTTTCGCCGCATTGCCGCCGGACGGGGTAGGCGCAACCCGCTTTCCCCTGCCACTTTTCCCAGCGTTGGCGACCGACTCGATTGGAGCACCACTATTCTCCCCCGTAACCACGCCTTTCCCTTCCTTATTCCCGAGGCCATGCAACATGTCCCGCAGCGAAGCATAAGCATCAGTCGGAGGCTTCGGTGCCGCTTCGGAGATCTTCGGATGGGGCGACTGGTCGAGTACGATGACCTCGTTGCCCTCGACGGTCTTGCCAACGGTCTAACGGGCACGCGACGGTGGGGATGCTACTGGGCTGCCGACATGTCCTCCCACCGAAGAAGAAGGAGGAACCGATCGACGCTCCACCCCGCTGCGAACACCAGCCACCCCCTCCTCCTGACGCGACCTCGTCGACGGGCCTGCCGAGCGCTGAAACCCTCTCGCTATCGCTTCGGTGAGGACTTCCAATCTGCCAGCTTCAGCTTCTTGGTAGCCTTCTCTCACAACGTCCTTCAGGTCCTTCATGCTCTCGGGCGGGAGGGTGGAGTAGAACAAGTCGTCCTTGACGGCTTTCTCGATACCCTTCACGACCAAAGCAACCAGCCGCTCCTCGATAAGCTGGAACTGCTTCTCGACGGCGTCCTCGCTCGCCTTCGTGATAGCGGCTGCCACTCCCTCGATGATTTTCCCGCTCATCTTTTCGAGCTTCGTGCGCGCCCCTTCCAACAGCTTCCTTTCCTCCGTGACACCGTTTACGGCGTCGCCGCAATGCTTAAGCGTCCTGTTCGACGACTCCGAAATCATATTCCAGGCCGTCCGAAAATCCGCAGCAAGCTTGTTGAAAACAGCGGCTTGCTCACTGTGCTTCGCAAATACATCGGCGACGAGCTTCTTCTGCGACGCCTCAACCTCCGCGACCCTCTGCAGTAGCTCGACGACCTGACCACCAGATGGAATGGCCGACGTCGATTGGCCTGCCGTCGAAGGGCGCCAGGTCGAAGGGCCCCCCTATCCGCTGCCACTTGCCGTGCGGTGTCTCCTTCTTACTACGACCTGTCGCTCCTGCGCAGCCTCCCCGCCCTCCTGCTCCTGCCCTCCCGCCCCACCCTCCTGCGTAGCCGCCACGCCCTCCTGCTGCTACCCTCCGACCCCACCTTCTTGCGCAGCCGTCCCGCCCTCCTGCTGCTGCACTCCTGTCCCAAAATCCTGCACAGCCGCCCCTCTTTCATGCAGCAGCACTCCTGCCCCACCCTCCTGCGCAGCCGCTCCGGCCTCCTGCTCCTCGACAACATCAACGTCACCCATCGCCTGCTGCTCGATACGCTTCACCCGCTCGTCCACCCGCTCTCCGAGCGCCACACGGTGCTCCTCCGTACGCTCCGTCCCACCTGGATGTTCTCCTGCGCCCTCGCCGTCGTGCTCGACCGACTCATCGCTCGAGTCCGAGCCGGAGCTCGAGCCCTCCTGCTCATTCACATTACCGCCCGGGCCGCTCACCCCGTGCTGACCTTGCCTCGATGTACCCTCCTCGATCTCCTCCTCCTCCTCGTAGCTGTACTCAAGCAGGACGCGTGCCTTCCCCTCGCCTCCTCCCTCGTGTTCGGCACCCCCTCCCACTTCTACCTCCTTCTCCACCTCGTGCATCTTTGTCCAAAACAGCTTGATCATGAACGACGGAAGCATACCCGGGCCAGGGCTCGTTCTCCCGAGCATCACAAGGTCACCCTGTCGAGGCTGCAGGATGAAATTGTTCCAGTTCGACAAAATCCGGCGCACCCCATGCCCGACACGAGCTGCCGCGCCGGGTTCACTGGAGCCCGTAAGGGCCGTCGTCGTCTGCGACAGGTATAAAACACACGTAACCGACAGAACAACATGCTCGACGAAAACATGCACGACTAAGTGTAAGGATTGGCTTACCAGATGATCGAAACTCTGAATCATGTCCAGACGCATGTCGATGAGGCTAAGCACCCCCTGCTCGTGCTCAGTCACAGCCCGCTGGGTCATCGCGTACTCGGCGCGAAGCTGCTTCTTCATCCAACTGCAAAGCAACGGAAAGGAGAGTAAGATTGTCGAGAACGGTAAATCGACAGCAGGGTGGCAAATCGGTCACTCACACGAAAACTTCCTGTGCCAGCGAAGATTGGTGGTTCACCGCGGGAAACCTGTCTTTCGAATCGAAGTGCATCATTCGCGTTCGACAGCCAATGTGCCTCGGAACCAGCAGATCGTCGGGGCGCGATACCACGAACATGCTCGAATGGGAGAACGGCGGCACAGACAGGCTGCATGCAGAGCGAATGCACGTGAGCACGGTTTTAGTACTAAACACGGAGCAAGCAAGGCGACGGGATAGTGTCGAACTCACGTGGTCCGCATCAGAACGAAAATCACTTGCTTGCCAAGAAGGCCGTCGAGGTGGTTGTTCGTAAAAGCGATCGGTGTTGGACGCGCCATCTCTTCATGCGCACGCGTCGAAGTCACGATCGAAAGCTTGGCCAGCTGCTCGACGGACAGCAGCTCCCTTGAAAACAGGCTGCACGGAAAGGTAAGGCACAGTCAGCGACAGGTAAACCGGAACATGGCAAACCTAAAATGCTCGACAGGAAACGTACACAACGCCCACGTTCATCATCCTCTCGTCGAGCTCCGCTTTCGGCGCCTCGCTAATCGCATTCAACTGGTCTTCGAACACCTCCACCTCGACCCCGCCCGCGGTTAGGATGAGGCCGCGTCGAACCGTTGGCTCGTTCATGACGGGTTGGGAGGCGGGGCCCGTAGCCATGGCAGGCCTAGCAGTAGGGAGGGCGGGAGCGCAGGGGAGCTGGAAACTAGGGAGTAGAGAAGAAAATCTCGGAGACAGCAACAAAATGAGAGCGCACTCGGGGTATTAGCTGTTTGCCTTCACCCCCACCGAGACAGACTCGGGTGCAAGGGCGACGAGGCAGGGCGCGTTCCGAGACGGCGGGAGGAGGAGCTTTTCGCATAGGGCGGCGGGGCCCTGTTGGCCTCGACGTGAAATCTGGTGGTTGGCTGCATGAGGTGGGGCGCCTTGCATGGAGCTGAAAGGCCCCTTTCAAGGAGCGGGAGGGGGTGTGTAGTGTGCGTTCGACACGTCACCGGGGTCGAGCGCCAAACGAAACGGGCCCGTCGAGAGAGAGAGAGAGCGGTGGAGCGCGGCGCAGATGGGAGTGGCTTCCGTCCGCTCGCGACAATTCGCAGACGGGTTCCGTCGGCGAGGCGACGTCCGGCGAGTGTTCGGTGTGTTACCGGACGGAACCCGTCTACGAACCGAGCGTGGTGTTGGGCTCGGTTCGGTTCGGTTCGGGTGGGGACCACTGCCAGCTCGAGGGCGCGGGATGCTGGCGTCACGTGCAGCTGGCGCCAGCTCGGGGTGCCCGTTTTCGGGCGGGAGGAGGGGGGTGACTCCCGCCCCTCGCGTGCGCCGCTAGGCGACTGCGGGAAAACGGAAATCCCTCCAGGGAAATCCCGCAGGGGCGAAGGGGGGTTCCCGGAGGGATTTGGCCGAGATCTTCCCTCGTACGAACCATGCTTGCCGAGCCTACCCAGATGTAGACTCGGTAGCGTGTACAGCCTCGATAGTGGCTACTGGGTGTAGACTTTGACGAGGGGGCGAAGCCAGGATGTTCGAGCATATATTGCTGAGGGGTTTCTAAACCTACATACGAACCACCAAGCATGTACTTCGGCTTGGCTTTGCCAGGAAAAGTTGGATTCGTGACCGTCGATCAGACACTCCTTGAACGGTATCGATCTTAATACCAAACTTAATTGTTGAAAACCGTCGATCTTTTTTTTTTTTGGATGGTCGACATTTGGGCTGTCTCACCCTCTACTCCTTCTGGAAACCAAGCGAGATTACAATGGGTTAGAAACACAACCGTCGATCTCAATAATGTTGGATGGCTACGATCTGGCGAAGCTACACATCACTTTTTGCCATGTTGGGCAAGAAAGGTCTTGTGATTGATTTTACTGCTTTGAGTGATTACGAAGCAACTGATAGCCGTCGATTCTTAGTGCAATCAAAGGCCACGATGGAGAGATGAAACGAGTTGGCAGAAGATACTGAACCCTAGTTTCCGATTGGTTCGAACCCAGATTTCAGCTGAGGCACACACAAATAACTGGCTACTTCTAACACCCAACTTCAATCCTCATGGGTAAGTAGCTTTCGCAGGGGTACTACTAGCGACCCTGCGCTTTCAAGGGGACTACAGTGCTATATGCGGGCACTTTCCGCCACTCCGCCACTCCGACAGGAACATTATGGCAACAACACAGAACTCAGTCCCACATTCACCCACGTGTCACAAATTTGGAAAGTTGGCAACAAAAAAAACTCACACTGAACTTGCCATTCCCTATGTCCCTTCGAAAACGCACGGCAAAAAAAAAAATAAAACCCATAGGGAACCTGGACTCATTTTTGGGAGGGATCAACCCTAAACACGGGAACCCACATTTTTTTAGGGTTGATGCCTCCCCGAGACGCATGCCTTCCCGATTGGGTTTTAGTTTTTTTCGGTCAGGTAAAGGGATATTTTTCCAGTGGCTTGCGAAATTTGTGACACGTGGGTGAATGTGGGACCAAGTTCTGTGTTGTTGCCATAATGTTCCTGTCGGAGTGGCGGAGTGGCGGAAAGTGCCCGCATATAGCAGTGTAGTCCCCTTGAAAGCGCAGGGTCGCTAGTAGTACCCCTGCGAAAGCTACTTACCCTTTCCTCATTCCTTAGCTTCCAGGCTGCTTTCGTTTAGTTCCCCGCTCTCTGGGGAAACGTGTGAGACCATGCTCCTGCTCTCTGTTCACCTTGAAATCATGAGCGCGACTGGTTAAATATTTCGTCCTTTTCTTCTCCCTTTTGACGTGGCAGAAGGCGATATGGGCGTGGTTTGCCCGTGGCGATATGGGCGTGGCGATATAACGTGGCGATATGGGCGGGGTGATTTGGCGTGGCGATATGGCCGTGACGATTTGGGCGTGTCGATGTAGGCGTGGCGATTTGGCGTCGTGATTTGGCGTCGCGATATGTGCGTGACGATTCTGGCGTGGCGATATGGGCGTGTCGATTTGGCCGTGACGATTAAGGCCTGGCAATCTGGGCGTGGCAATATGGGCGATGGCTGCTGGCTGCTGGCTGCGCCCAGTGGGAGTGCGGTGCCTCGATGGGAGGTGAGCCATTCGCGGGAATCTCAAACCAGCGTGCATTGCTGTAGGCGCTTTTTCTAGCTATCCTGCAGAAAAGCCTATTATTATGATTTGTATGAAAAAGGCGCCTTTCGAGCGTTTTCTACAAGAATTCGACGTGACAAAGTCTCAATGCTGTGATGCCTCGATGACGACCCGCCTTTCGCGCTCACCTTGAGCCCATTAATTGGAGTCGGTTCACATTCGACTGCCTACCCCCTCACTCCGCTCCCCCACCCCTCCCCCCTTCTCCCCTTCCCTCCCTTCCCGCCCCTCCCTTCCTTTCCCATATCGCGTACTTTACATAAATCTCGTTCCCCTTGCCTCTCTCTCATCGTTCGCTGCCCCTCTTTACCCATCGCCGATCCCTCCCTCTCCCCTCCCCATACCCGCACGTCCTCTTATCCCCCTTCCCCTCCCCCCTCTTCCCCCCCTCTCCATCCCAAAACATTTGTGACTAACGGGTTTGTGACTAACTGGTTGCTGTTGTTGCTAATCTCGTGCTGGCAAGCTGAGTACCCTGTCGTGCACGCCGCTCGCAATGTTGCTGGTGTGCCCACGAAAGACACTCCCAACATCCACAACACGGACCGCATGCGTGCGATCGTGCGCAACTGGATGAGGGATTCGATCGTGAGGTGGCATGGCACCCCTCAGGGCCCACGCTGGGATGCTGAGGAGAGGGCGTATTAGTTCAGTGCGGGTCAGCACTTCAGGGATCAAATTCCCTCCTCCCAATGAGGTCAGAGACTTGCCTACAGAGATTGTGGGGGATGAGATGGGAGATGGGAAAGAGTAGATCCCCATACACCGATATATGCCAGCCTAGTCCTGTTCGGCACGACAGTTAGCACGTTGCATGTCTGTATTAGGCGTTCTCTTGATGCAGGCATTTTTGCTGTACCACCCTTTTTTAATAAATAGCTGTTCACACAATTTGGTGCATAATCAGGCATAACTGCAAGGTAATGTGGATGCTACAATAAATTTTACCATTGTAACTATGTAACTTTGTAACAGTGTGTTACCATGCCACAATGGTAACAAGGCAACTCTGTAACCGATTACTGTAACAGTTTCAAAGTTAAAGCCCAAGAAACATTGTGGCTTCGTAATCCCTCTGTATATCGCGTGTGTTTACAGACTTGATACATATCGAACTGTACAAAGTACACCTGGAGTACCAAGCCCATTGAAACCCTCAACCGGGCACTGTAGTATGAGCTATCAATCCATGATGTCGCAACTCTCGCGAGGGGTAGTCTGGGCACGGTACGTACAATACCCCGACAGTATCGGGGGCGGTGGAGTCTAGGCCCTGTAAAAAAACCTGTATATACGTTGTCGCGGGAAACATTGCGCACGCATTGGATTTCCTAAGCATATACGCGGTAGTTACTTTGTCGAGTCGGGCCAATGTTTTGGGATGTAGGTGCAGAAAGAGCTGGGAGGAAAAGGATGCGACCGTGGAGAGGTTCGATCACTACGAGCCGGCGAATGGCGTGGCGCATATCGTGAAGCGCGTGAAGCGAGGAAAAGGGTGCGACGAGATGGCATTGTGGTGGATGGCTGGCACCCTCGCGCACATCATTGGTGTCTGAGCAAATCCGATCGGATTCGCATTTCGAGCGCGCCGCGTCAAGCACTGGGTGCGAGGTATAACGGCGCCAGCTGCTCCAATTCGAAACGCTTCCCCCAGGCCGCACCAAGGGCGTGACGCAGATTAGGGTTTCAACGGCATCCGAAACGCAACGCAGGATTTGAGGCGCTCGCCACCCGCGCGTGTTCTCGAGCAGAGCAGGGAGGCAATCCTCAACCTCGTCGCCGCCGCCTCACTTGCTCCCCTCCCCTCACCCCTCGCCGCACGGTGGCACAGGGAGACCGCGTGCCACGCTCCAGTGGTGGATAGACACCCCTGCCAACGAGTCGCAGCCACTGCAGCGAAGCGCGTCGGCAAGGCGTATCGTATCGTATCGTATCGTTCCACGACGTCGACCCTTAGGGCGCGCAGCAGCGACGCGCAGGCTTGCTGCGCCACCTTGCGC